CGGCGAGCGCGCCGCCATGACCGCGGCTCCTAACGGGTCAAGTTCCCTCTTGGAAACTCCACCTCCCCTTCCCCATCCTGGCCAGCCCGGGGCGCCGAGGTGCGCATGCGCGGGCCTTTTCCCGCCTCGGCGCGCGCGGGGTCTCGCGCTCGCGGGTCCTGGCCGGCTTCCCACGGGAGAGGCTCCCCAGGCGGGACACCCCCTGCTGCGCATGCGCCCTGGCCGGAGGCGTTAGGCGCCTTTGGCCTTGGTTGCCCTGTCTGTCTGTCTGTCTGTCTGTCTGTCTGTCTGTCTGTCTGTCTGTCTGTCTGTCTGTCTGTCGGTCTGTCTGTCGGTCTGTCTGTCTGTCTGTCGGTCTGTCGGCCGGTCGGTCTGTCGGCCGGTCGGTCTGTCCGTTGCTTGCTATGCCCTTGGCTTGCTTTCCGCACGCCTGAAACCCTACTCTCCACTTCGGACCTTGCTTGCATTCCACCTCTTAAAAGCCTTCCTAGACAAGTTCCTGACCCCAAATGATCCTGAACTTGTGAATTCCTCCTCCTTCAAGGCCACTGCCAACTCTTTTGTCACGTTTCATTGACCGCCCTGAAGTGTTAGTTACAGGGCTAATCTCTCCAAGGCTGCTGTAAGCTCCTTGAGGATCAGGGAATAGGTTTTAGACTTAAATGTTTTCTTCACACCCCTTAGCAAAACTGCCTTACACCCAGCTGACATCCAGCTGACTGATGTCAAGGAGATGTGCAAAGCCTTGTGCTGAGCTGGGACTAGCAAGCCCGGGTTCCCATTTGAATTGTGATCCTTTCTACACCCTTTTGTCTTTTGTTTTGCAAGAGTCATGATTATTTCCTTTGAGCCTTTATGTCAATTTCTTTATCTGTCTGGCTGAATACCAGAATGAGCACAGACTACATTGCCTAATAATATAGGTCCTTGAAACAAATCAATCTTTTAAAGAGTGGTAAAGAAAACAGAGCCTACTTTATCTTGTTTACAAATTTTAAATAAGCAGCAACTTCCTTTCTTTATCCTTAACACTCTTCTTACCACAGTATTGATAAGGAGATGCATGTTGAGCTAGCACTAGAGTTTTTGTTTTTGCCCCCGAGTTCCAGGACAATTGGAGGAGATTGAGGCACTATGGAAGTAGGAAAGAAAGTTGGCCACTTATAACTGATGACTTCAAAATAATCTGTGCCAGAATTTAGTCCACATGCCAAAGAACACCTTTCCAATTAACATCCTACTACAGGAATTTGAATGGGTTTCCTTCCCAAAGAAAGAGAAAATCACATAAAACTTATAGAAGGATTACATTAGAAAAAGTACATTTGAGTCTTAGAAGTAGCTATCAAACTGAGCATTTACCATAGACTGAGTCCAATAGTTAGCACATATGAATTCATTCAATTTTTTGGCTTGCTTTTTTTTTTACATATCGCTATTTCACTAGTGACAAAACTGAATCTTCAAAGGTTACTAGGACTTGCATGATAGTTCATTCAGTATTAGGAAAGCTAAAATTTGAATCCACTTAACTCCATTAACTACAAAATCTGTGCCTTTGACCTTTATGTTTACTCCTGCTCATCATCTGAAACAAACCATTAGGTCTAGATGCATGTGAGATTTTGGCCTAGCACTGGGAATTCTAACCACATAATTCACATTTGGCTCAAAAACAATATGTATACACATTTTTAATATCTACTTGTTCTGTTGTAAGTTTTATTGTTTAAATATTGTTCTACTTATTTTTGGATTTCTGTGGTTTCTTTTTTGTGGTACTGGAGTTTGAACTTGAGGGCTCTTTTCTTGCTAGACAAAGAAGCTGTGGAGACAACTATATATCCTGCCCTTTACACTCTGTGATAGGGCCTCAGTTTTGGTCCTGACCATCCTAGACTTCAATCTACCTATTTAAACTTCCCACCACACGGGGCTAGGAATGTGGCTTAGTAGTAGGTTGCTTGCCTAGCTTACATGAAGCCCTGGGTTCAATTCCTCAGTACCACATAAACAAAAAGCCAGAAGTAGTGCTCAAGTGGTAGAGTGCTAGCCTTGAACAAAAGACACTCAGGCCCTGAGATCAAGCCCCAGGATTGGCAAATAAACTTCCCACCACATCTTAGTTGACAGGTAGGAGTCTCCTATGTAACCAGGATGACAGGCATATAACACTGTGTTCAGCTATTGGTTGAGATGTAGTCTCAAGAAATATTTTTCTGATCAAGCAGCAATCCTCTTCATCACTGTTTCCTAAGTAGCTAGGAATACAGGTGTGAGCCAACAAGTTGTGGATATAAATGTTATTTCTCACTTAAATTTAAAATTGTTTATCTGTAATGAGTTTGAAAAGAGATGAAAGAATAGAGTTTCTCAACCTTTATGTTTAATCATTAAAAAAAACTGCAGCATTTTAAGATGTGTTATTTCTCCTTTACCAATTTAGTTTCATTTTTACTTGGCCGGAAAATTTGTTCAATTTTTTTTTGATTGGTCATGGGGCTTGAACTCTGGGCCTGGGTGCTATCCCTCAGCTTTTCAGCACAAGGCTAGTGATCTACCACTTGAGCCATAGCACCACTTCCAGTTTTCTGGCGATTAATTGGCGATAAGAGTCTCATGGACTTTCCTGCCTGGGCTGGCTTTGAACTGTGATACTCAGATCTCAGCCTCCTGAGTAGCTAGAATTACAGGTGTGAGCCACTGGTGCCCAGCAATTTGTTGGATTTTTAAACCACTACTAGATATCAATGAGTCTGCACATATCATAGTTTTTATATAATTTTTAAATTTATTTCAATTTTAAGTCTTTTCCATATCCGAAAGATTAAATCGAGAATTGCTTAGTGCCTATGTCTTCAGTATTAGAGTGAAATGTACAAGTCAGAATGTGCCAATGTGACACTGAATCAATGGTGGACATACATATGGTGTCAGTTTCATGTGGACAAATGGCAATCTAGGAGGCAGTGGAAATAAACCAAAAAAACTGTTTCATGTGTACAATTATTAAAATATTGTTTAATAAATTCTGGGCAATCTTGATCCCCTGAGAGTGTTCTAGATAAAAATATACAAGGAGATACCATCAATTCCAGCTTCCCATGTGAGTTTCATATATTTCAAAAATATGACTCAATGGCAACAAAATTTTATTTTCCATTTTCATTTCCAAAGATGACAAGATACTCCAGAACTGTTTAAATATTGTCATTTTTTCTAATTCTAGGCTTTTTTTTGTCAATTAGATCCATTGAACTCTAATTTCCAGAGTGGTTGTTATTGGGAGGGCTAAGGGGAGAAGTGATCTGTGTATGTTATGTATAAATGCATTTTGTCAATTCACTCTGTTTAGCAAAGTAAATTCAGTACTCCAGTTCTTCCATCTGCATTACTTATTACATCCCTGACTGCATCCCAGACATGAAGGCCTTCTTTCTCTACTACCAGCATTCTAGTTTGCCATTTCTGTATTGATGATGCTTTCCTGTTCCACTATGTAATTCTGTGTGTGTTTCTCGGTCTCCATCTCTGTCTCTGTCTCTGTCTCTGTCTCTGTCTCTGTCTCTGTCTCTGTCCTGGTCTGTCTGTCTGTCTGTCTGTCTCTCTCTCTCTCTCTCTCTCTCTCTCTTTCTCTCTCTCTCTCTCAGACACACACACACACACACACACACACACCCTTTGCTTTTTGAAAACTCTGTATTACGTGTCCTCAGTCACTAGTGTTCCTTTGACCAGGTAAGAACTCCTCTATACATAAAGAAATAACACCATTTCCCAGCCCAGGAGATCATCCTGATTGTTACCTACCTATTTACAACACATAGCAGATTTCAAGAACAGCAATTAATCCTAAACTTTTCTGGATTTTTTAGTTCTTGCCAGGAGTTGAATGTTTCATTGTCATCTTCTGTGTTAACAATAGGGAATTTTTTCTTTTTTCAAATATGAGATTACAGCCATCTTGTATAGCAGAATCCCACCTCTGCAGAATCTACTAGGTAAACCTCACAGAGGTTTTCAGGCTGAAGCATGAGAGATACACATGTCCTCTCATCAACAATCATATTCTGCTTGGTGTGGTAATAATCCAGAGGCTCAGTAGTAAGTTGGTAGCAACTTATATGGAGTACTCTGAACAACCGTTCATCAGGATAAATTACAAAGGTAAGAGTGGGATCAAAGGAATGCACAATACTTGGCAGCTAGCTACTTACGGCCTAAAAGATACTTTCCTGTCTCTAAGATTGGAAGGGTGTGAAGAATGAGACAAAAAGAGCTATGGATCCAGAACTGCCTGGTAAGATGCAGACTTAAGATAAAGAACTAGGGGAGGGCAAGGAATGTGGCTTACTGGTAGAGTGCTTGCCTAGCATGCATGAGGTCCTTGGTTTGATTCCTTGGTACCACATTAAAC